TCAGGTGGGATCTCCCCGCCAATGGCGGGGAGAGACTCTCCCCCGCGGGCCCAGGTGTGCAACTCCAAAGTTTCCCTCTGCGTTTAGGAGTAATTGCGGGGGGGTTAGGTAGGGTTCTGGTCACCTGTTTCCACCGTCGCTCCTCTGTTGTGTGCTCGCTCCTGCCCTAGATGTGTGTAGATCCTCTGGGGGCATCCATTGGAAGAAAGCCGCTTGTGGGTACTAGGCTGCTTGGTCGGGGTCGGAGAGTTTTCACCTATTTCCACATCCTCCCGGAGGAAAGTCCGTCCGCCTTCCGATGTATAGTCGTGTGGGTATCTCAGACGTCCTGAGATGCTGTCTGGATATCCTTTGTTAAGCGATAAGTGTCCAAATAATTGTAGACTCGAAGGGGGAGAGAGAAAGAGGACTACTCACGGCACCATCTTGGGCATTAGTCCCCCAACTTTTTAAGAGTTTTTATCATAAACGGCTGTTCAATTTTGTCCAATGCTTTCTCTGCATCTATTGTGATTATTGTGTGGTTTTTATTCCTCAATTTGTTGATGTGGTGTATCACATTAACTGATTTGCAGATGTTGAACCATCCCTGGTATGAATCTCATGATGTATGATCCTTTTGATGTATTGCTGAATTTGGGTTGCCAAAATTTTGATGAGTATTTTTGCATCTATGTCCATCAGCTGTATTGGCCTGTAGTTTTCCCTTTTTATGCTTTCTTTCTCAGGCTGTGGTATCAGAGTGATGCTGGCCTCATAGAATGTGTTAGCAAGTATGCCATCTTCCCAAATTTTTTGGAATAGCTTGAGAAGGGTAGGTATTAAATGCTCTCTGAAAGTTTGGTAAAATTCCCCAGAGAAGCTGTCTGGTCCTGGGGTTTTCTTCTTTGGGATGCTTTTGATTACAATTTCGATCTCTTTCCTTGTGATTGGTTTATTCAGATTGTCTGTTTCTTCTTGACTCAACTTTGGGAGGTTGTAAGAGTCTAAGAATTTATCCATTTCCTCTACATTATCCATTTTGTTGGCATATATTTTTTCATAATATTCTCTTATTATCCATTGTATTTCTGTGGAGTCAGTTATTATTTCTCCTCTTTCATTTCTGATTTTGTTTATCTGATTCTCTCCTTTGTCTTTGTAAGTCTGGCTAAGGGTTTGTCAATTTTACTTATCTTCTCAAAGAACCAGCTCTTTGTTTCATTGATCCTTTCTACTGCCTTTTTTGTTTCAATAGCATTTATTTCTGCTCTGATTTTTATTATTTCTCTCCTTCTTCTGACTTTGGGCTTTGTTTGTTCTTCTTTTTCTAATTCAGTTAGGTGTAATTTGAGATGGCTTATTTGAAATTTTTCTTGTTTGTGAAGGTGTGCCTGTATTGCAATGAATTTGCTTCTTAATACAGCTTTTGCTGCATCCCATATGAGTTGGTATGGCATGTTATCATTTTCATTTGTCTCCAGATATTTTTTGATTTATCCTTTAGTTTCTTCAATCATTCATTGCTTGTTCCACAACATGTTGTTTAGTCTCCACATCTTTCTCCCTTTCTCAGCTTTTTTCTTGAAATTAATTTCTATCGTTATAGCATTATTATCAGAAAAGATACTTATTATTTCAATTGTCTTAAATTTATTGAGGCTTTCCTTGTCTACTAATACAAGGTCTATCCTTGAGAATGTTCTGTATGCACTTGAGAAGAATGTATATCCTGCTGTTTTTGAATGGAGGGTTCTATATATGTCTATTAAGTCCAACTGGTTTAGCTTTGCATTTAATTCCACTGTTTCCTTGTTGATTTCCTGTCTGTATGATCTATCCATTGATGTGAGTGGGGTGTTGTGGTCCCCTTCTATTATTGTTATTATGTTATTATTAATATCTTCTTTTCAGTTTGTTAGTAGTTGCTTTATGATCTTTGGTGTTCCTGTGTTGAGTACATAGATATTTGTAAGCATTATTTCTTCTTGATGGAGTCTCCCTTTGATCATCATATACTGCCCCTCTTTGTCTCTCTTTACCTGTCTTATCTTGAAGTCTACTTTGTCTGATATAAGTATTGCAAGACTTGATCTCTTTTGTTTGCCCTTAGCTTGGAGTATCATTTTCCACCCCTTCACTCTGAGCTTGTGTTTGTCATTGGAGCTGAGATGTGTTTCCTGGAGGCAGCAAATTGTTGGTTCTTGTTCTTTAATCCATCTTGCCACTCTGTGTCTTTTTATTGAAGATTCAATCCATTTACATTTAGGGTGATTATTGATGTATGAGAGCTTAATGTTGTCATTATATCACTCATTTTCCAGTTTTCCTGCATTTCCTTTGTTTCTTGTCCTGTGTGTTTTGGTCTACCCATTGAATTATGTAAGATGTGTTTCTTTTCTTTTTCTTTCTTTATTTTTTGTGTTTCTGTTCTGCTTTTTTGTTTAGTGGTTACCCTGATGTTTGTATTCAGAATCTCACGTATAAGATAGTCCATTTTCTGATGGCCTCTTGTTTCTTTAGTCCAAACCGATTCAGTCCCTTTCTTCCTCCACTCCTAGGTTGTTTTTCTCATATCTTATTAAACTCGTGTTGTCAGTTTTTGATTAAAGTGACAAGACTGTCTTTGTTTTTGCTGTCTTCCTTCCCTTTAGCCTAATGTTACAGTTGAATATTTGCTCTCCTATTGTGATTCTGTCTACCTGTTTATCTTCTTACTCTGTGTTTTGTGACCCTTTTCTCCCTTTTATTCTTTTTGAGGTATGAGGGCATTCTTGAGGATTTCTTGTAGGAGAGGGGTCTCATGGCTATGAAGCGCCTTAGCTTTTGTTTGTCTGGGAAAGATTTAATTTTTCCTGCATATCTGAAGGATATTTTTGCTGGATAGAGTATTCTTGGGTGAAGATTCTTGTCTTTTAAAGTTTTTAATATGCTAGTCCATTCTCTCCTAACTTGCAAGGTTTCTGCAGAGAAATCTGCTGAAAGCCTGATGGGGTTCCTTTGTAAGCTATTTTCTTCTGCCTTGCTGCCCTGAGTATTCTTTCCTTGTCATTCATTTTTGCCAGTTTTATTACTATATGCCTTTCAATAGTTCTTTTTACATTGACATGTCTAGGAGATTTGGAAGCCTCTTCTACACATATTTCCCTCTCCTTCCCCAGATTTGGGAAGTTCTCCGCTATTATTTCTTTGAACACACTTTCAGCTCCATTCTCCTTCTCTTCACCTTCTTGAATACCTATAATTCTTATGTCCCATTCCTCATTGAGTCTGATATTTCTCAGATAGTTTCTTCATTTATTTTTAGTCTTCGTTCTCTCTCCTCCTCTGTCTGGAGCATTTCAACATGTCTATCTTCAATTATGATGAAACACTCCTCCATGATGTCCACTTGAGCATTCAGGGAATCCATATTTTATTTTATCTCTTTCATTGTGTCTTTCATCTCTAAAAATTCTGATTGATTCTTCTTTATAGTTTCAATCTCTTTTGTGAAGTAGCTCCTGAATTCATTGAATAATTTCTCTACAGTCTCCTTTACTTTGTTGAGTTTTGTGAATGATAACTAATTTGAATTCATTGTCATTTAGCTTACGTATTTCTGTGTCCTCAGGATTGAGTTCTGAGTGCTTGTTTTCTTTCTGGGTCTGGAGATTTTGATGTAGTGTCTGATGTTGGAAGGTCAGGTCTTTCTCACTCTGGTATTATTCAGCTGCCATTACCACCAATCAGCACTGGGTGAGTGTTGACAGCTGCATATTCTGAGCCCTGTGACTTCAGCCAAGATCACAGACAGTGGAGCGGTGTGGTACAGGGTTGGGGGGAGGGACACTTTCTCCTGCATGCACTCCAAGATTTCTCAATCAGCTCTCACTATCTGGTCTCCTGGGGTCTAGGATTGAGGAGATCACACCCCACGATAACTTTCACTCCATTAAAGGGTTTCTTTCTAGGCTAAAAGGACCCTAGGGAGTCCTTGGTGATCCTGTGATGAGTGACCCCTCCCCCACTCTTTCCCTCAGGGATCCTCCCATGGATATTATCACAGTATTTAGGGGAGGGAGCAAAGTTCTCTCTTACCCATTCCAGCTCCTCCAAGGGGGGCTCCAGCTTCTATGTACTCTGTTGTGTGGCTGCCTGTCTCTCTGATGTTTTTGTGTTGTTTAGATATCTTATGTTGGAGTATGTATGCCCCTTTTTGTCGCATGTTGGAGGGGAGAGAGTCATGTGCAAGTTCACTCTGCCATGATGCTGACATCACTCTATAATCATATTAAATTTTATACACACTTTTATAAGTCTTTTTACATGAAATTTTAATGTAAACATAAAATTCACTCATGAAGTAAGGATAAAATATAATTATTCCTATAAGGCAAGAGAAAAGGTTAATTCCTTCCCATTGAATATCAATGTTCTGAGAGAGAAGTTATGCAATCCTCACCATCAGTGGCAACAAGGATTTTTGTTCTCTCTCTCTCATCACTATGGACTCATGGATTTTTATTTACTCTATGTGTTATAATTGCTCTTAGTCATTATTCCCTTTGCTGCTCAAATCTACTCAAATTTCACCAGTGGGATCCCCATCAAATTGTTGGACCTTTTTGTTTTCCTTTAGACATTCCTTCATGAGTCTTTGATTGATTTCTTGTTTTCTGGCACAATTTGATGTTCAAGGTTCAAACAAGTTATATTCCTGTTCCACATCTGGATTTAGCTATGGATCCTTGTAACATACAATGGTATTGTATAAACAAGATCTGATCCATAGATTTGCCTGTTCTCAGAAATATATTTCTTTTTCTTTTTTTACCCTTTTAGGAAATCCCTAAAATATTTTAGGGAACATATATATGATATTTACTTTTTAAAAAATAATTACTTGATGTTGATGTTTCTAGTATAAATTGAATATTAAACAGTTTTTTGTTCAGCTTTTTTTCCTTTTAAACTTTCTGTTTCATATTAATATTCCCGTATCATGCAGTGTGACATTTTTCTATCTTGGCATTCTACAGGTGGAATGTCATCCTTATCTCAACCAGAGGAAACTGTTGGATTTCTGCAAATCCAAAGATATTGTCCTAGTTGCCTATTGTGCTTTGGGAAGCCAACGTCCAAAACAATGGTAATGAAGGCAAAAGGGAGTATGCCTAAAACACACTTTTGATGAAATATTTTAAATCATACTATACTCAGTTTTCTGGAATTAACTCTCAACTGGCTTGGGGAGAGAGGGGAGGGACAGAAGAAATCCTTCCCCTTTGTCACCCCATGACCTAGTCAATGCTATTGCATTATATGTGTTGGTTGTAGATTAATCAATAACAAATGTCTGCATGAAAATCTATATATAATCCAAAAAATTGAGACAAAAGTCATAAGCTTAAGTCATGATGTAGATGTTTTTGAACTAATTAATGCATTTCTAGTAATAGACTCTCTGAGTTTACTTATGTCTAAAATCAGGATGGTAATATGTAACTCCTAGATTTATTATGATAGAACAAATTGTGATCAGAAACACTTTTGTAAACTTCTATGGAAATATTGCATACTATAAGTAATGATAAAATGAATAGTTCACCTTTTGTGACTACTCAACTTTTATCAATATCATACAAAATTTAAAATAAAGACTATCTCATTCATTTCCTTTCTCTTTCTCCTTTCATACTCTTATTCTTACTGTGAGGGCTATAATCAGAGAAGATAAACAGCCCATGAGAAGTAAAAGGGAAAAAATCTATGATTTGAAAGCAATGGTCTGGACTCAAACATGCATCAAAATGACCTAGAGGGCTTCCTAAATAAAGAGTTTCTGAATCAGGTGGTCTTCAGTAAAGTCAGGGAATTTACCCTTCCCAACAAGTTACCAGATGATACTGTTGCTGCTTGTCCAGGGACCATCTGTTGAGAAGAACTGGTCTAGAGTGGACCACCTGGGTCTTTTTCAGAAGGCTCAGAACAAACTGAAAAATTCAGTTTAAGGTCTTCAGCATTTCTGCATTTTCTTCCAGGGTGGACCAGAGCAGCCCGGTTCTCTTGGAAGATCCCGTCCTTTGTGCCATGGCAAAAAAGTACGAACGATCTCCAGCACTGATTGCCCTTCGCTACCAGCTACAGCGTGGGGTTGTGGTTCTGGCCAAGTGTATCAATGAGAAGCAGATGAAAGAGAACATGCAGGTGATTGTTGAAGCTCTGGGCATGGGGCTCCTAAAGAGTATCCATCACATGAGTTCTTCTTTGTAAGGATCTTAAGACATCTTTGGGCCCTGATGAATTACCTATTATTTCCCATGCGTTTATTACTTATGTGTATTCTCACTGGTTTTCTCCTCTTTGCATGAGGCCAAGGCAGTGATTGTATACTTGCAAAGCCTTTTCATTCTAGGATAAGAATTGACTCACCCCTGCTTCTGGAAAATTTTCTTGTCCAGTGCAAGATACAGGCCAGGCCAGGTTCAAAGGGTAGAGAAACTTCCAAAAGTGACTGTGTCTTTTCATTCAAATTTTGGTCTCTAATATACCTGTAATTGATTGTTTAATACAATGACAAAATGAACCTAAATATGTATATGTTTAAAGGGAAATCCAAATGTCCATCATTTCCCACAGCTTTTCACTGTCATCTCCATCATGTGTCAAATGTCCCTCAGTTCATTTCTGGCCTCTCTCTTCTATTCAACTACTTACTTTTCTATACTGTCTATTTATAGTGGAAATGCTTTGCTTTCCAGAATGGTAAGTTTTTTCTTCATTTCTTTTTCTTCTTTAAGAACATCTTGTGTATTCTTCACTAGTTGTTCTTTTATGTAAAATATAGTATCATTTGTCAACTTTCACAAAAAATAATAGTGTAAGTCTTTGTTTCATATTGCATCAAAACTATAGCTTAATTTGGAGAAAACTGACTTCTTTACAATATTAAGACTTCCAATCAATGATTATGATATGTTTTTAAATGCTTTGATGTTATTTATATATTTTTAATAAATTTCAAAACTTCCTCCACAAGGTATTTACTTAATACTGCTGTTGGATTTATTCATAGATGACTAGTAAATTAGATATGCTTTTGATAGCTTTTACTAACTTTTTACTTTACAGATATTCAAATGTTTGGAAAAGTTGAAAGACTATTGCAATAAGTGTGTAACTCGGATCAATTTTTATATTTTTGAAATTTTGCCTGCTACCTATCAACCTGTCTATTGATTTATCTACCCTCCAACTTCTCCATCTAATCACTCTCTTGGAATATTATTATGGATTGATGGATTTATTTGGTTCAACATATTAGCCATTACTCACATTCATTTTGATGCTTAAAATGTCCCACATTTAGACAGTAACGTTCTCATCAGGCTGGGTACTGTGTCCTTTGAACATGACATTGTTAGTATTTGGACAATTATTGTTTTAAATTACCTTGAATAAAATTTATTGACTTTCTAACTGTTCATTGATGGGATATAGACATCCACTTGTATTAGTGAGAATTACTACATTATGTTTTGTATTTTTTAAATCTATTTCTAGAGTCTTCTGGATCTGCTAAGTACATGACCCTATCTCTTTGAATAATGTGGGCTTTGTTCCCTCACTTTTTTAAAGATCTCTTTTTTGTCTGTAGTCTTGTGCAGTTTCAATCTACCATATCTACTTATGGATTTTTATTTAATTTTTCTTGATACTTATTAATACTTGAGATTTTTCTTGATGTCTTTGAAAACTCTTGGAAATTCCTAAGATATTTTGAATATTGCCTCTGCATGATTCAGTCTGATGTGCCTAGATTTTCCAAATTGGCAATATGCAATCTGGAAATCAAAAAAAATCTTTCTACTTCTGTGGTAGGTTTTTGAATTCCAGTTGACTTCAGAGGACATGAAAGTCCTAGATGGCCTAAACCAAAATCTTCGATATGCTTCTATTAAAATGTAAGTAACTTTGGTAAATACGTTTGCTTCAGTTTATATTTTGATAATGAGAGTATGATCATTGTTAAAATTGATGTCAATACTAGGGATTCAGAGGCTAATTTGAGTCAGGGACGAGACAGGAACTTCCTGGAATCTCATGCCAGGCTCACTCCAGAGCTTTGTTCACTGACACAATGGCAGGATGAGTGGAGCAGGGTCGGCTTGGAATTATACACATGTGTCCTGCCCTCATCACTCCATGTAACTTTCCAAGACGCTTGATGTCATTGCTGAATCTGTATATTCCACATAGGATTCTCATTTCCACAACAATCCAGTGGACATAAACTGTGAATATCACCAGTGTAGCCTAATTGAATGTTTCCAAAACTATATTTATCTTCTTTTTCCTCCAACTTCTCAATTCTTTATCAGATTAAAGGATTCTCCATCAAGCTTGTGTTCATAGCAGAAATGCTCATTGCTCCCATAAGAATCTTCATGAGATTCTGCCAAGTTTATGTCCCTCATAAGTTTCCATATCTCTCCCTTCCTTTTCATTGTATGTTTGTTCAGGACCCAAATACTGCATTTCCCTCCACAAAGGCTGTCATTGTGGAGTCCACAGGAATTCTTGGTTAAGATTTTCTGAAATATGGAGATCTCGACACAGAGGACAAAGTTTTCAAGAAGAGAAATATAAACCAAAGGAAGAATGTGGAGGCAAATCACAATTTGTGGAGATAATTTATAGCCAACAAAAAATCTTTAATATTCCTTCATGGCCTACTGTTTTGTAATTTTAAGAAAAAAATTTTCATTATAAATGAGGGAAAGGGAGGAATGCACATTCCCTCTCCCTGTGAGAATTTTAACTCGTAATAGCAATAAATGTGATAATGTATGGAAAGCAATTATCATAGTGGAAAATTGTGAATACTCAAAAGCTGGTAGATAATTTTTGTCCTTACCAATATACTTATTAATATAGAGACAAACGACGAACAAGGTATGTAAGTAATGATGAGAGAAAAAGAGAGTAGTAATGAATCAGCCATTCTTCAAATAAATTAGATGTTTTAATAAGAAGCCATTATTTTCTATCAATTTACATTTTGTGTTATTACTGAATAGAGATCATCCTACCTCACAGTAAGCTCCTTGGAGATGGAACCCAATGTTTACATGACATTCTTTCCATTTCTGGATCTAAGTGGATGTGTTGTATGTGGTGGGAAATTAGTAAATAATTAATAAATTTAAAAAATAGAAGTGAATGGACAGTTAATCTTCGACAAAGGAGCTGAGGGCCTACAATGGAGAAAAGAAAGTCTCTTCAACAAATGGTGCTGGGAAAACTGGACAGCCACATGTAAAAGAATGAAAATTGACCATTCTTTTTCACCATTCACAAAAATAAACTCAAAATGGATCAAAGACCTAAAGATTAGGCCTGAAACAATGAGTCTTCTAGAAGAGAATATAGGCAGTACACTCTTTGATATCAGTTTCAAAAGAATCTTTTTGGACACCATAACCCCTCAGATGAGGGAAACAGTAGAAAGAATGAACAAATGGGACTTCATCAGACTAAAGAGCTTCTTCAAGGCAAGGGAAAACAGGATTGAAACCAAAAAGAGCCCACTAATTGGGAAAAAAAATATTTAGAAGTTATTTATCCAACAAAGGGTTAATCTCCATAATATATAAAGAACTCACACAGCTCAACAACAAAAAAATCAAACAACTCAATCAAAAAATGGGCAGGGGACATGGACATTTCTCCAAAGAAGATATACAGATGGCCAATAGACACATGAAAAGATGCTCATCATCACTAATCATCAGGGAAATGCAAATCAAAACTACACTAAGATATCACTTTACACCTTTTAGAATGGCAAAAATATCCAAAACCAAGAGTGACAAATGTTGGAGAGGCTGTGGAGAAAAAGGAACCCTCATACACTGTTGGTGGGAATGCAAACTGGTGCAGCCACTATGGAAAACAGTATGGAGATTTCTAAAAAAGTTAAAAATAGAAATACCTTATGACCCAGCCATCCCACTACTGGATATATATCCTAAGAACCTGAAATCAGTAATTCCAAAAGTCCCATGCACCCCTATGTTCATTGCAGCATTATTCACAATAGCCAAGACATGGAACCAACCTAAGTGCCCAGCAACTGATGATTGGATAAAGAAGATATGGTATATATATACAATGGAATACTACTCAGACATAAAAAAGGACAAAGTCATCCCATTCACAACAACATGGATAGACCTTGAGGGTATTATGTTGAGTGAAATAAGCCAGACAGAGAAAGACGAACTCTGTATGACTCCACTCATAGGTGGTAGTTAACGTATAGACAAAGAGAACTGATCGGTGCTTACCAGGGGAAAGGGAGGGTTGGGGGAGGGCACTAAGGGTGAAGTGGTGTACCTACAACATGACTAATAATAATGTACAACTGTAATTTCACAAGGTTGTTAACTATCATAATCTTAATAAAAAAAAATCTCTGAAAAAAAAATCGAAGTGAAATTGCATTCAGTAAACTGTATCACCATAAAGTATTAGTGCTGAGCAAGTGGCTGGACATGTCTTTTTCTTCCACTGAAGATTTGAAATGAGAAAGGAGAGACTATCTTGTTGCTTTATTGACATATGTAGCTAAGGAGAGGAAAATATTTGATTATTTGACTTTGCGTATTCTGTGTACTAAGTACAGGGCAAGGAATATTATTTGAAACATTTAATTATTATTATTTAAATATTATTATAAAGTCATGTTTGTGAAAGAAAGAAAGGCAGACTCTACACCTGGTCAGGAAATAAAATGTTTGACTTTACCTCAATGACAGCTTCATAGAAATCACTTCTCTACCACCATTGGAACAGAGTCATTGACCCCATATATGCCTTGTTTTTCTCATTTTAGTTTTGCTGACCACCCTGAGTATCCATTTTCTGATGAATATTAATATGGAGGCCTTTGTCCTGACTTCTACCAGAAGCTCTGCATGTGGATATTGAGGTGGGAACTGTCTCGGATGTTGGTGATCACACACATCTGCATGGGTTCCATCCATGCTGCTTAGCAGCTCATACTCAGCTAGACTTAAGTGCTTAGGTCAGTAAGGAAAGGCACTCCATTTTTGTCACTTTCTGTAAAAATTAAAGATTTTTACCCCTAAATTGTTTTACCTACTCCTGTCTCTGTTGAATATTTTATTTCCTTCTGACTCTTAGAGCCAAAAACTGGTTTGCCTGGATCTTCTGGTGTAAGAAGTGGGAGGGGATACAATAAAGACAATTTTATAGATATTTCTGGAACAAGAGGGATGAGTTTTCAGTCTCTAGGGAAGTAGTAGTTAGCAGGTATTTATCAGTCAGTGTTCCTCTAGCCTTTGAGGAATGAGAGGACATATTCCATGTGGTCTGTATGGTTAGGCATATGTTGCAAGGATGATCAGCAATACACAGGCTGTCTTTCAGCAGCGCGGGGGATAAATGCTCCAGAAAATCCCAGAATTAAGTATTCCTGGGGCAGAGTTGGCCCAGGATGTTGGAGGGGAACCAGCCTGGAAGGTCATTAGGACTCAGACGTACATAATTTTTAGGAGAAGAGATTCGAGCACATACCTTTTTGGGAAAATTTGGAAAATGCCTCTCTGCTACTTTTCTCCTGTACATGAAAAGGAATTTTCCACAGTATTCTGTGGAATGGCCAGACCTGAAAGTCAGGACTAGGCTGCCATGTGTGCCCAGGAAACAGTAATGAGCTTGCTGGGGTGTTCTCAGATTGTAGTTCACATTTGTATGACTACAGCATACCCTTATATTATTAAGACATAGTGCATAATTATCAGGATTGAATCTTCTAAGATTTAAATTTTTTATAAGGGATCCTTGACATTTTTTTCAGTTAATTTATTAAAATGCGTCTTAAAGAGTTGCTCCCCTGGGAGGATCAATGTAGATGGCAAAGGTAGCCAAGTAAACTCCCTAGGCCTGATTCAGGCAGGAAAAATGTAAGGAGAAGATGCTAAGGCCAAAGAAAATATATTGCCTAACTAATTCAGAACTGTTCAAAAAATAGGGCCAAACTTTAATAATATTGAAAAAGCTAGACTTCTGGGTTTTAGTCACATAGATAAAGACCTTGGAAATCAACACTTCCTTCCTCATAAGGCAAAAAACGACAAACTAAGAATCAACAACTCTCCTTAGATCTACCAGAAAATCGAACTCACAAAGAAAATTGCAGACCCCAAAATTATACAGACAGTTGGATACAGAGAATCGTGGCTTAATGGAAGCTGGAGAACAAGAAAGTTAGTGGACTGACATTACTCAACTTCAAGGCTTACTGGAAACGTACAGCAATCAAGACAGTGTTGTATAGGTGAAAGTACAGACACATTGATCAATGGACTGAATAGGGAGCCCACATATAGACCCACTAAAATATAGTTAACTGATCTTTGATAGAAAAGAATGACAACTCAAAGGAGAAAGATTAGTCTTTTCAACAAATGGTGTTGGAACAACTAGACATCCACATACAAAAACTGAATCGAGACTCAGACCTTACACCTTTCACAAAACTTAAGTCAAAATGAATGATAGATCTAAATGTAGAACACAAAACTATAACACTCTACAAGATAATGTAGGGGGTAATCTAGAGTACCTTGGGAATGGTCTTGACTTTTTAGATACAACACGAAAAGTCCAATCCATGTGGGAAATAAATTGCCAGACTTCATTAAAATAACTTAACAATTCTGCTCTGTGAAAGACACCATAAAGAGAATTAAAAGACCATACACTGTCTATGAGAAAATACTTCCAAAACTCTAACTGATAAAGTATCAGTACCCAAAATATACAAAGAACACTTAAAATTCTGTAGTAATAAAACAAAAACTCAATTTATCAACGAGCAAAAGATCTGAACTGACAGTTCACCAAAGACGATACATAGATGACAAGTAAACATATGAAAAATTTCTCAACATCATATGTCGCTAGTGAATTGAAAATTTTTAAAAATGAGATACTGCTACACATCTGTGAGAATTGCCAAAATCCAAAACAGTGACAACACCAAATACCAGAAAGGATGTGAATCTACAGCACCAGTCTTTCCTTGCTGGTGGGAAAGCAAAATGGGACAGCCATTTTGGAAGATAGTTTGGCAGTTTCTTTCAATGTCAAACATACTTCTACCATATACTCCAGCAACTGTGCTCCTTGACATTTAACCAAAAGACTTACAATCTTGTGTCCACACAAAAAATTTTACACAGATGTTCATAGCAATTTTTAATAATTGTCAAATTTTGTATAGCAGTTCATTGGATATAGACACATAATTGTATCAATACAGTAGAATTTTATTCAGTGATAAGCATAAAGGAACTAACAAGACATGAAAAGACATGGAGGAAACTTAAATGTGTATTACTAAGAGAAATAAGCAAATCTTAAAAGGTTACATACCATAAGATTTCAACTGTATGCCATTTTGCAACTAGCAAAACTATAAAGACAATACAATGATCAAGGTTGCCAAGAGTTTAGAGGAAGAGGGAAAGGAAAGGATAGTTAAGAGGAGCATAGAGGTTTTTAAGATGATAAACCCATTCAGTATGTAGACACTAAGGGTAGATACATGTCAGTTTGCATTTTTCAGTATTCACAGAGCTGTACAAAACAGAGAAACCCTAATGTAAACCATAGACCTTAGCTAATAATACTGTGTAAGTCTTATCTCATTAGTTATCATAAATGTCCCACAGTAACACAAGATACTAATAATAGGGGAAATGGGGGCATGAGTGGGGAGGAGAACAGAGACTGAACGGCAGCTCTCTGGACTTTAAAAACATTTTTTCTGTAAATACAAGTGTATTCTAAAAAGTAAAGTCTATTAATAAAAATAAAAAATGTGTAGTCCAATTTTTATTGTAACAGTGTATTCCTGTTAATCGAAAAAGTTTTTGAGCACCTGCTAAGAGTCAGATTTTGAGACTGTCTTAAGACACAACTGTGAAAGGATCTGATATTCATGTAGTCAAGATGATGGTGTTTCTGATAATTCTGAGGTCTGTGAAGATGAACTGGAACAGGAGGTGAGGTCATTCTCTGGTAATCAGCGACGTCTTAGTGAACTAGGTTAGCAGCCTTAATCACATGAGATCGTATGGAGTCATTTCGTAGAAACTTGTTTCCAAAGGAGCACTTTCTTCATAAGGAAAGTGGAATCAGACCTCAAGGAACCATCCACCTCTGTGAGTTGACCTGGTTATCTCTGCAGACTTGTGGAAGCTCTCCTAGGCTAGACATTTTCTGCCTGCACAGCATTTATAGATGCCAAAATTCTTTCATAGCCTGCCCAGAATAATAAGGTGCAGTGGCACCAAGGTAAAGAGCAGCTATTCCCTCGTCCTATGGGAAGGTTCAGAGATGAAGCCTGAGATGGCATGGTCTGTGAATGGCCCCTATGTCCAGGGTAGACTTCAAGAACAGCCTTGCAGTTGTAGAACTGAGCCACCTAGGAAAAATCCCCAGCTGGTCATTAATTTCTGCACTGCATTCTGTGGAATTGAAGCTGTCAAAAATAGTCCTTGCCAGAAGAAGTCATGGCAATTGCAGGCCCAAACACAAAGGAATTGAGAAATCATGGAATCTCTTACAGAGATTCAGCCAAGATGCTCCAAGTAAAAGGCCAAAGAGTTATACAAATATTGGTCGGTTTCAAATCAATGTCAGGAAACTTGATTTTCAGAAGGAAGAGTGCAATCATCCTGAATCCTAACCCAAGACCTGGGACCACGAGAGTTACCACACAACTCCAGGACAAGCAGGAACAAGACTGCTTCTCAAATCAAGTGTAATGAATCAGAGAAGGAAATCTACAACCATGAAAAAGAACCAAGAGAACCAAAAAATAGGAAAAAAATCACACAAGAAGAAAAAACAAATGAGTAATTTAAGCATGACCATAAAATAATTTGCTTAGCACTCTCAAAGGAATTAAGCAGGGACAAGTATTTATGAAAAGCCAAGGAAACTAAGTAAATAAGAAAAGGCAGATGGGAGAAATAAGTAATTAAAATATTAGTTATAAAAAATGAATTATTTGAATAAAAAGAGGAAAGCCTCAATAGACACAACAGACAGGAGACTACACACAGCAGCTATGAATTTTTATTTAAGTTAGTCATTGTTTTTAGAACCTACTTGATTTCTCTTTATCTAGCAAAGCCATTGACAATGTTATCTTTTGATGACTTCCACGTACAACAGATTGCTCAGTGTTTTTTACCCAGTTAAAATTATTTTGACTATAAACATTTTTGATATTTGCATTCAGTTGTTAAGCCACATTTACAAGTATTTAGGCTGCACTCTTCATATAACTGCTTACAAACTTTAATTCCATGCCTTTTATTCATGGCTACCACTTTTGACTCCTTCTTCTTGGCTTTCTTTCATGAGCCTCCACTTCTGCTCCATAGTGGGAAGCTGAATCAGGCCAATTCAGATTTAACGAGCAAATTCAGTGATTCAGTCACTTCAGGCTTAGAATTTGTCTTCTTTCGAGAACTTTCAAATCAATAAAAATACGTGGGAAGGCAACTGCATGCTCCCTCACTCCTTCCTTTGCTGGCTGTCTTGTTCTAACCAGAAGATAATGGCAGTCCACAAGCTTTGTTTTCCTCTCACGGGTCACTTTTGTGTTCCCCTCAGAACTCATGGACACTTTCAGATGTTGTGTACTCACCTGTAATAAGATCGAATCTCTGGCATTGCCACTGGAACACACAAAATGGGGGACTTTGGAATTATGTCCACAAGGAAAATTCATTAATATTCTCCAGTGACATCTGAGAGAAGGTGAAGAGGAAAAATACTCCTTTATTAAAGGTGACTTTGCTGGAAATCTTATAATTCAAACATTAATTCTCCATTTAATAACCTCCTGTGGCCATTTTTAAAGGCAGATACAATGGTTTGGTGACTCACAGCTGACTTTGTAACTTAAATGTGGCTGTCTTGCCAATTACTGTTGAAGTCATCAAGACATCCAAAGGACTCCAGGTGACCACCTTGCTGGCATCGATTTGACTACCATGTTTTCTCCATATCTGTATCTAGTTTGCCCTCATTTATGAAGGCATTCAATGGACATTTTCACATCCTGCTGTGGGTACTTCAGTAGCCTGTCATGTCACACAACCTCTGGCCCTAGGGCTGAAACAGTTAAATCACCACATTTGGTCATTATGTGATCCACATTATCTGGTCACATTATG